AAGTATTCCCATGCGAAATTTACAGGTGTTTCTCGAGGCACAACATGCTTTTCTTTCGTGAATCCACCAGGAAAGACAGACAAGGTGATTTCATTATCCAAGTCGCAACCTTCTGAACTTTCAACTGGCTGGTTGTCTAAATTATGGGATTCTGAGCTTTCTGGGGCAGGACTGATCTCACTTTCGGAAGATGGATTTTCTGATCCCCCCCTGTCATCCTTAGGTGACTTGTCAGAGTCATCACCATCATTCTCTTTGCTAGGACTTCCTCCAATATCACCTTTAGGAATACTGTGAACCAAATCAGGCCGAGCCTCCACCCCAACTCGTCTAAGGTGCAACTATCATGACAATAGACAATAGTTAAAAAACATAGATCCCCCTAAGCACAATAAATTCCAAATATAAAAATGGATACCTGAAGATGTAAGTTGACTTCATCTGGTCGTGAAAGGAAAGGAAAATCTCCACCTGTTTTCAAAGACGCGAGCCTTGCCTCAGGATATCTTTCGCTCAATTGTTCTTTAAGTTGTAGAGGAATTGCACAGTAGTCATTAGTCTTCAAGAAAACATGCAAGACAATTGGATTTATAAGCAACGAAAGTGGATTTATAAATATCTCACACCGTACTACTTATTGTGTCATAAAAAATGGATAACTAGAAAACAGTCATACATAATAATTATAACACTAGACATTTTCATGCCGAAGTCACAGGCAAAAAAATATATGTTTAGGGTGAATTTTAGAAACAGCTGCTAAAAGAATGCAATATATCATCAGTTAGAGGAGGTATTAAAGAACACAGAGCTTGTATTGTCCACAAAGGCAATAAGGCAACAAATTAATCTAGAAACAGAATAGCTAAGATTGAAATGGTATCATGCAAAAAATAAATTATTTTGATAAGGGAGTGGATCTGCATAATTGAGAAATAAGCAAATTTATACTAAGGTGACATACATCCATTATAGTGATAAATGAATCTGAAAGAAGAAGGGGTCCGACTGAAGCATCATCTGTTGTCAGCGACATTCTGGAAGCCAAGTCTTCTCTAGAGAGGGTTTCTACCTGAATAGGCCACACATTACATAACCATGTAGATCAATCAAGTTATTTAAGACAAAAATATAAAAGTTTATCACATACAGGATAAGGAAATGCATGTTAAAGAAATGCACTCGTTTATCATATGTAAACTCTTTTTGTTGTCTCGAAGCATGAAAACTGGTAGCATACAAAAATGCTACAGAGGCAGACTATTAATAAGGCATGAGATTATGCAAGACAATGAGTACCTGAGAAACAACAAAGTCAACTGAATCCGCAATAAATGGTTCATGGGGACCATCACGAATTCCTGTTAAGACATACCGCTTCAACAAAAATGAAGGAGTCCAACTAACACTGTAAATGCAACAGTAAAACTGGACTAATTAATAGTTGGAGGACATAACAGATCTAATGAAGAGCTATCAGGATAAATAATGAGAATTTCTCAAGCAAACTGGATTATGCAGATTTCTTTTTGTACATTTTTCTAAGTGGACGGCATATTGTCTCATTCCAAGGTAAGGTGTGCCATACATATAGCATCACGGACTCACAAACAATAATAATTATGGATGTGCAGAAAAATCAGACATTTTAATTAGGCATGTTGCCTCGTAGAGTCAATGGAATATTTAAAAGTGATTTGCCTTCTGCCACATAAATAAATCCATCATTTAAATATATCATTCTAATTTCCTTGTGATTAATGTGATTGTGCCTATAAAAATATCTTTACAATGCATAAAATCTTTTGTGTAAGGAGTGTAATCAAGAAGCATTTGTTCACAAGAAATTACACTAGGTCAGTACATATCTAAGTTTATCTTTCATAAATGGAAAGGACACAACCACAGACAATTTTCTCATTTCTACTACATATTTCTATCATTACTCAACAGCAGAATTTGAGACAAGTACATTGGTGCCCATGGCATTGCAGCAGAGAAACTTTGTGTCTCCAAAAATGAATTTGATAAAACCAATGACCGAACTCGTCTTGGACGATGCTGAGCAAAGAGTTGTGCCAAGAAACCACCGAGTGATGTTCCATAAAGATGTATCTGTGACAGATTAAACCAGTTTACTAAATTTTTCTTGAGTTGTTGGACTTGAACTCATGTCACCAAAACAAATTGTAACGATATTTTACATACAGATATTTGGACTTAGTGCATAAAGCAAGAAGAAAGTTTGTTGTTAAAGCAATTAAAATCATGTATGGTTAGCTAACTTTCATTCTGTAAGAAATAATTCCAACCATTCATAGAATTAACTTGCAGAAGAGATTAACCATTTAATATATTAGTTTAGTAATGAAATATGAAATTGAAGGACCAGAACTCAAGTCTTAACAAATAAAACGCATTTCCAGAAACAAGCTATATCCTCACCGAGACACTTGCAGTAGACTACTTTATTCGGACTTCTACAAAAAAAGACCTAAGACCTTAACTAAAAATCATGCTATAAATTTTAACTGACTAGTAGCTCAAATAACAAGTAAAGCTTTAAATAAAGTAGGCTGGCCTGCAATTTAGTAGGGATGGCGATATTTTTAGGTTCACATGCTGAATCTCGAAATATATAATACAACATGAATTGGCTTAAAAAATTTAGCGAGAAAGAACATGTCAATTAAATTTATTATAACAAGCTCATTTGTAAAAGCAATTTTAAGTAGCGGATTCAGAGAAACTCTTAAAACTCAGTGTACAATTCCATACTTGGGCTAACCCTCCAAGACTTAATTAAGGTTAGACTTTCACTTGGGCTTGGGTTGTTTGGACTATTCAACTTCTATAGCATGTCGAGAAATCTTTATAATGTCCAAAAGTCAGTCTCTCCACAGGGCGAAGGTGTTTATATAGACATCCCACTCAATATCCAATGTTATAACATGTTAAAGCTCCTTGCAAAATCATAAAAGTGCCCAGGAAAAATATCTTTTTCCCTAATATTTGAACATCAAAGGACACACAAAACTGAAAAATTGTTAAAATTTCAAGGGAAGTTATAAATCTTTATACTAGCTGCAAACTAGAAATAAAGAGATTTTCATTAAATGAAATGTTCAATTTGTTCAACAAAAAGAGTACTTGTATGAGTGTTTGATACCATATCAAGCACAACGGCTCCAAAAGCAAACAATTTGTATATATTTAGCCTCTATATGAGATAATATTTAGTAAGAATCTACACATGAAAGACAATAGAGAATGCTAAGTATCAGTTTGATAAGTAAAAAATTAGTAGTACAATACACACCAGAAGTTTAAGAATAAGAAGATCATACATGGTGTACATCAATAGCATCCAAGAACTTCTCAAATGCTTGAATCCACTCAGCGTGATGCCATACGCGAGGTATATCTACAGATATGACACGGTAGCCCTGCATTTAACAAAGAATTTAGAAACTCCTTCTAGAATCACATTGCAATGATAATCATTGAAAAAGCATACACAGCCATACAACCAACAAAATAAACGAACTCTAGTTAACTCGCGTTAGCAAGTAGTATCCGACAACAATATTTTGTCGCGCAGTGCTATGTAATACCTTCATGGATAATGACATAATTTGTTTATAGTAAACATCTGCAGTTCCCGCCGTTCCAGGAAGACATATAAGTGGAGGCACAGCTTTTGGACCAAAATCATAATAACGCCACTGCTTTGTTCCAATCTACACAATATCATCAAACAAGAATTAACCTAAAACAATAAACCCTTTCCCCAAATCCTAAAACCAGTGAAAATCGATTCAATCAACATAGTAAAAAATTGAGCTGGATCTAATAAACTATAGTAAATTGTGGAAAAATGAAGAATTAGGAAAAAGAGGAAAACGTACAGGGATTTTGTGAAGAGGAACTTGGGATTTGAAGTGAACGTAATCACCGGGCGCCGAAAAGACGCCTTTCATGGTTTGATTCGCAGTGGTGTGTGTTGTTGTTGTTCAAGTTTGTTATGCCATCGATTTCATCACCGATCGTTTTGAATTGTAGCGATTCAGCACACAATACCAAGACGATGATGTGAATAATTATTTAATCATAACATTTTATTTCATCTGATCCAATCAGATGAAACTAAACGCGCTTCTTTTGTTTACGGTTATTAACCCACTTACTGCACACAACTATTTTTTACACTCACTATTTATTCACTTCAATAATATTCCAAATCTAACTCTAGGTTACGTTTTAAAATGACTCTCTTTTATTTTTATACGCAAAATAAAAAATAAAAAACATAATGATATTATCATAAGATATTATATTCTTATAAAATTAATTTTAATAATATAGAGACAAAAAAATAAAAGATATAATTAAAAAAATTATTATTATTATTATATTGAAAAATAAAAATAAAATTTATTTTTAAAATAAAATTTATTTTTAAAATAAAATTTATTTTTAAAAGTTATTTTAAAACTGAGAAAGTTTTATTTTATATTAATTTATTTTTAAATTTTGAATAAATTATTAATATTTATAATTGGTTTATTATATATAAAAATAATTAAAAATCATATTTCAATTGACAAAAGTCAATATTACTAGATTGAATGTCATGTCTGAGTGAATGTTTAAATTTTGGTATTTACGAATTGCATGTTTGTTATTACTTCCTCTACAAACATAAAAACAATTAAAAATGAATAAAAAAAATATATTTTATAGTTTTATTTTTAAATTGGAGAATGTAGGATAATTTATAAACAAATCTGATGGTATAATTTTTATAATTGAATTTTTATTGAATAGCTCTAAGCAGCGGTGTTCAATTCTAAATTAATCTAAATAAAAATTGTAATTCGATTCAAAAAATTAAAAATAATTGAATGTGTTTGAATGCTATTTTATAAAAATTGATTAATTTAAATTAGATTTAAGATTAAATTAGATTTTAAATTGATTTTTTAAAACCGATCCAAATTGAACTGAATTGCATGTACATATATTTATACTTATTTATATTTATTAGCATGATATTGTTTACGGTTATTTTTGGGCAAACAATCATTTAGTTTTAAATGTATTATTTGAATGACCAAATTAGTAAATCTTAGACATATCGTGTGATTCTCTCTTGAAAAAAATGTGCATCAAAATTGTTAAGAGTTTATTGTTGAATGTTTGAAAATTTACTTAAGTAAAAGTTAAAGTAATATTCAAAAGAACAACAAATCGACTGGGCTGAAAATTGGTAACTTAAACTACAGTGAATAAATAAACTTAAGAAGAATGAAAAATAAACTTAATTTGCATAAGTAAAAGATGGTATACAATATCATACATTTCCTTTATACGTGGGTACTTTGAGTGCGTATGAAGTCACAATGATTTTACCACCCAGTTTACAACATATGAAATTGTTATTTATACTATTCTAAAATAACTATCAATGATTGTTATCTGTCAAACGCTTCAAAATGTATCATCTAATTTCAAACTTTAGCCTTTGTCGTGCTACCACATGTCTTCTAAGATTTAAATGCTAACAACTCATATCTTGTATTAATAACTGTCTCAAACTTCCAAATGGTTCTTGCCAGCGTTCGACTCGTCACTCCTATCGACGCACTTCTTGAGTGATGTTCTAGACTCAAGAAAAATACTAAGTCTTTTTAACTCACAAATAACTCATGTCGATATAACCGCTTTGTCGAGGTATCTTCTCGTTGAATGTCCTTTTCGAGATTCTGGACATATTTCAACATGAACTTGATCATATGGATCCACTCCTGAGATTCCTCCAAAAACATATTTTTCATGTCGATCAAACCTTTCGACGTAGTCTATTTTCTAGTTGACACTCAATAACTGGATATTAGCACTTAACTTTTCCCAATGCATCAAACTTTATTAATTTCTTTTAGCTGGAATTTTCAGGCTGACAAATGCCCCCCGAAAATGCCACTTTCAACAACGTTCTGAATGAAAGAAAGATGACGTTTTTGAAGTCCTCTTGACTCAGTTTCTAAAAATTATACATGTCATACTGATGAGATTTTTATTCGATCATCATGAGTGATTTTAACCAAATTGTCACGACAGAACGTGTAAACAGATAATCATCATCATTACTCCTATTTCTAAGGGTAATAAAATTAAGTTTTATTTGGTACCTAATGTGCCTTGGGTCCTTCATAATTAGTTCCTTTCTTGACCCACACATAATATCCACTTGCGACACTAAAGTTTCTTACATAGCAAGCATTAGGTGCATGGCCAATTATACCACAATAAAAATATGTAGGAACAAAATTACTTTTATTCTAGGAACATAAGACTTTTTCTTAACAAATCTCTTCTTAGGAAGATGATGAACTTTTTGTGCTTTATTCACTTTCTCTTGATGGATTGGTCACTTGCCTTAACAGAGATAATTTTATTAGTACTTGGTTTGTTAAACTTAGAATAACTAAGTCCACTTTTATCATTGAAATATCTTTGTTGACTAAAGATATTGTCCAATTCAACTTGTCCTTTTTCATACCTTTCAAGAACTCTTTTCAATTGGACAATTTGGAAAGAAAGTGAATCACACTCTTTGCATGTAAAATTCTGTTTTTCTTTTTGAAGAAAAATTTATTTTGCAATTTTAAAATCTTTTTCCATGGTATCAATCTTTTCTTCAAGAGATAAATTTTGATTCTTTTGTGTTGTCACCATTTTATATAGAATTTTACATTCATTAAGTAGTTCATCAATAACACCTAGTGCATCATTATCATAAGAAGATATTCCATTACTAACCTCTTCTTCTTCATCATCAGAATGATTTGTTGATATCAATGCTTTGTTTGCATGTTCTTCATCTGAAGATGAACTTATGTCATTGTCATCCCATGCTACATAATCTTTCTTTAACCTTTTATCCTTCTTGCTTTTGAAGTATTTATTCTTCTTTTCAAGTGTAGGACATTCACTTTTAACATGTCCTTTTTCTCCATATTCAAAGCATGTAACTTACTTGTTGGTGCTTCTCTTTTAATGATCTCATTTTTTCTTTCTTTTCTTAGAAACTTTTCAAACTTCTTGATAAGATCATAATATTCATCATTATTAGACTCATCCTCTTGATTGCTATCATAATTTTTTACTCCCGTCTTTAAAACAATGTATTTTGAATCTTTTACTTGAATTTCATGCTTTTCAAGTCTTCCAAATTTCGTCTCATATTCTTGAAGTTTTCAGAACAATGTTGTGGAAGTCATTTGTTCCCACTTCTTCCCGACACTGAGGTTTCCAAAACTTTATTCCATACAATGCTTCATACATTGTCATTACGATGCTAGAATAATGGATGCTATTAGGCATAAACTCAACTAATGATAGGTGTTGATTGCATTTTCCTTCATCTTATAAGATATAAGCTTACAACATATCTTTCAATAATTGAGTCGTTCTTTCCATTTGACCATCTATTTGTAGATGGTTTGTCACACTAAGACTCAATACTGTCCCCACATCATGGTGAAATGCATTCCAAAATCTAAAAGTGTACTTTGGGTCACGATCAGATGAAATATTTATTGGTACGTACACAATGTAGTCATACTATGTCTTCAATGAAAAGTTTGGTTGGCTGAACAACTTTGTCAATAGTCTTAAATTGTAAGAAATGTGTTGACTTGGTCAATCTGTCTACTATCACCCAAATTGAGTCATAACTATTGGGAGTACAAGGTAGTCCTACTATAAAATCCATGAAAGTAAACTCCCAAATTGCAACATGCTACCAGGTCTTTGATGTTCAATTTTCACCTGTTTATATATCATGCACCAAGCTATAAATTTTGCTATTTCTATTTTTATCTCGGGTCACCATAAGCATCTCTCGAGATCATTGTACATCTTGGATGAACCGATATGTATGATGAAAAAAATATTATGGGTTCCTCTAAGATCACCCTTTTAAAGTCTAAATCATTTGGAAAACACGTCATTCCTTCAAACAAAAGGATCCCCCCTGTCAATCTGGTGAATCCTAGTTGTTTCAATTTAGCTTGTAAGCATGTATCCAAAAAATAGGCTTGTCTAACTCTTTTCCTAATATCTTATAGAATACTCATCTGACTTAGTAATACTCATTTGTGTGTCCAAGTGAAGTTTAGGTCAAAATCTTTGAACTTCTTCAACAAGTTGTACTCTAGATTCATTAGTTCTACCTCATGAAATTCCCTCTTGCTTAAAGCATCTGCCACCTAATTGGAATTCCTGGGATGGTATCTTAATTCAAAATTGTAGTCCTTCATGAAATCCATCCATCTTGTTTGACGCATGTTGAGTTCTTTCTTGTCAAACATATACTTCAAGATTTTGTGATCGTTGGACATCTCAAATCTCACTCCATAAAGGTAGTGCCCCCACACCTTAAGTGCAAAGATAATATCGACTAGCTCCAAATCATGATTCAGGTAATTCTCTTAGCATGGTTTCAACTGTCTAGAGGAATAAGCTACCACTTGACTATTTTGCATCAAAATACACTCTTACCCTTTCTTCAAAGCGTCACAAAAAACTTTGTATTTCTATGTAGGATCTACGATTATTAAAATAGGAGCAATATTTTACTTTTTCTTTAATTTCTGAAAAACTCTTCTCAAAATCGGTATCCCATTAGAACCAGACATCCTTACGAGTAAACTGCGTCAATGGTAGAGTTGTTTGGGAAAGTCCCATAATGAATTTTCTATAATAACTTGCAAGCCACAAGAAAATTCTAACTTTATATGCATTTTTTGGTCTTTCACAATTCAACACTACTAGAACATTTGATGGGTCGATGACCACTCCTCCTTGTGAGATCACATGTTTGAGAAACTTTAATTTTGACATTGAAAAACTCACATTTGCTGAACTTTTTGAAAAAGTCTCTTTTCTCGTAGGACCGCAAGTACAATCCTAAGAC